CGAAGAACAAAAAAAATCGGGCCCAGCCAGGAATCGAACCTGGGCCGCTCGCTCCCTAAGCGAACATTCTACCACTAGAATACTGAGCCTCATGCATTATAGACTGATTGTGTATGCTTTTCGAGTGAGATTTCTCATGCACATATTTATTCATCTCGAGAATAACGCATGCAATATCTTACATCATCGAACTAATCCACTTGCTGGTACACCTTGTAAAGTCAATGTGTCTTTGGTACTGGGTATGATGCAACTAACGATGATGCTCAAATTCATGTTTCTCACTTTTCAAAACTTTAATCAGAATCGTCAGTGCATTGTGAATATTAACTTTATTTTAATCCTTATGGTTCATTCTGAGTAATGAGACCGTTACTCCAAATGAACTCACATTCCTCAATTCTGAGGATATTTAGTTTATTTTGGGTAAGGAAGTTATTACTCTTTCATGGAAATCGTGTGGTGTCAAACTGAATTCACTTTACTGCATTACTCTAAAGGATATTCATACGTTTAGCTCTCGTTATCGTTTGTAATGGTAATAATAATATCTATGGTTTTTCCCGTTCACTATTCCATTTCAAGTTCTTTGGTTAATGCAGACATATGTTACCAAAAAATGGTTTTTTTTAATGAAACTTGTCAAAAGTATTCGGAATCGAGGAATCTGAATTTCTAATTGGTTTCTCGAAATTTTTGAGTTTAACTTTTACCAGAACAGTACTTACAGATTTGGATTCTATGACCTTGACAGCGTTCGATCAAGTTTTATCGAATATCATCATTTTCCCAACATAGTCTTTTCTTAATAGAAAAATCAAACTCACAAATGTCAAGAAAGCTATTAGAAATTCAGATTCTTTGACCCCGAAAACTCTTGGTCAAAGTTTATGGAAACTTGTCTGTTTGTCAGAAAAGTATTCCTTTAGTGAAAAAAAAGCAAACTCACAAATGTTTAGTTATCCATAACTCAGTAACGTACATGGCTGGTAATGATGACTGTCATCCCCTATTTTATATTCATTTAAGTGTATCCCAATAATTAATTAAATGATAAGTTTTAACTTATAAATCGAGTAAATTGTTTGTTTATTTAACTTTATCTCAATTGACAACTCATTGGTAAATTTTATTTTAAATAATAAATTCATTTTTATTTATTTAGTATATCTCAAAAAATAATTCAGTGGATAAGCTTCTCTTATGTAGGTTTTTTAAATTTTCTTATGATTTCTGATAGGTCACTAGAGTTTTCTAGGATCTATGAATATTCTCTCATTATTGAAAGGATGATAGTTAATGTCAAATTCAATATAAAATACATAAAATATATGGCATCTGAACATATTAACCAAGATAAATCATTTCAAAATAAAACTAATGAAGACTGTAATTTCTTTTCTTCCGTTGACATGAGCCTTTTTATTGTTGTAGAGTATTGCGCTGCACGTTGTTCTCAAAAGAAAAAGAAAGAAAAGAAGAAAAAAAACAGTGACTTATTTATGTATGATGAAAAATTGACTCTTCTTTTCATGTGTAAGGCTATATATATATATTTGCCAAACATTAGCTCACTCGATTCATACAGTAGCAACCAGTGCAAAAATATAGAAGCAATTGTCAATAAGAAAGTAAGTATTATTTTTAAGAAAATAGATATTAATGGTGATGTTCAGTTTTCAGTTGGTGAACAAAGTGGAACAATTCGTCAACAATTTTGGGCCACAATTTATAAAGAATGTCCCATGTGTAAAAGTCAAAATATTGCTTTTCATTGATGGTGTTGTAGATGTAGTTTCAATGGAGACGATAAGCCATTTGATACTTCGATTAAATTAACTTATTAAATGATAATTTAAAACTATCTTTCGAAGGTATTTTGGATTTTTGTCTTGCGTTTGTAACGTCATTTTACATTTCGGTTAGAGTACACAGTTATTTATCAATGTCTTGGACAAGAAAGTGCAAACGATGTAAGAAATTTACAATGGGATAAGACAACAAGAAAATTACCTGATAAACATGAATATAGTTCTTATACATCATTTTATCATGATGAAGAAGGATTGGAACCAGAAAATTTTGAAACACAATATTGGATGCAATGACAATCATTGACGAACCTATTCTTAATTTATTTTTTTTTTGTGATGACTAATGCAGACGATTCATTTTTGTAAACATACATTCGCAAGAAAACACATAGTTCAAATACCATTAAAGAATTTTGCCAATTTTCGTTTGAAATATCGCATTGTGAAACTTGACAGCTTACAAGAAAATCGCTCCGACTGGCACCCGCCGTTTCAGCTCATATGGGACCCACACGAAGGTCTTGATGAGATTAGCAAAAGTCTATAAGGGTTCGCCCTTACGGACGTTAGGAGCCGAGTTATAATCGTTTTATTGAATTTTCGACTCATTTTTAGGTATTTACTGAAAAATCAGATAACGAAATTTCGACCTAAAGTTTTGCCCTAGATAAGTCTAATAACCGTTAGAATATCTTGAAAATTTCAGTCAAAAAGAATGTTCCTTTGTCGAGATATTGAATTTTCAGATAAACTTGATTTTTGTGACGTGTCTGTGACATGCGACAATTTTTTGGAAATTCAGTATCTTGAGAAAGGAACATTCTTTTTGGGTAAAACTTTCAAGATACTCTAACGGTTATTAAACCTATGTATCGACAAAATTTTAAGTCAAAATTTTAGTATTTGATTTTTCGATAGATACCTAAAAATACGTCAAAAATTCAGTAAAATGGTCATAACTCTGCTTCAAAAACCTGTGGGAACGAACCCTTGTAGGCTTTTACTAGTCTCATCGAGACCTCCTTATAGGCCCAATACGAGGTCAAACGGTAGGTATCGGTTAGAGTAATTCCCTCGTTAGTGGCAAGTAATACATACCGGATATCTGAAAATATCTGTAATGTAGTTTATTTTGCATATATCTCTACACAGACTAGTCATATAAATTTGAGTTTTTTTAAAAAGATGCATTGTTAAATCGTCTACAATAATCAAAATTAAGGATCCTTTTAATTTATTCTAATCGGTGCTAAAAGGATTAAACAAAAAAACTCTGCTAGATACTATATTTTATCACTATAAAAGCGAAATAAGTGCTCCAGAAATGACAAGTTTATTCTTGAGAACAAGTTCATTGTACGAAAACTCATTGCTAAAATATCGTGATATTGTCAGAGTGATCTTCTTAATGTTCGAGAATCGTTAGAAAGAATTAAAACTGACCAAAAAGTAATTGATTGGTTAGATAGAGAAGCGAACTGAATTTAGAAGAGTGAAAAACTACAATGTCTTGTACACCGTTTTGTTTAATCCTCTTAACATCAATTAGAATAAATCAAAGGGATATTTAACTTTAATTATTGTAGAAAACTTAACGACGCATCTTTTAAAAAATCAAGATTTTCTCATTTATCTGTGCAGCAAAGAACTTGGGACACTCGAAATTTGCGAATAAAAAAATAATAAAACCTATTAGACAAGCAGAAAATGACAGAGATATCGAAGAAGAAAGAATGATGTTATTGTGTGATTAAGAGTAAAATTATTGCTTCGATAAATTTTAATGAATACACTAGAATTGTGAGATATCTATTACTTAATGATTGTTTACATTTTATTTGCTTTTATTTAAGACATAATATTAAAAAAATGTTTTTTCAAACTTAATCGATCAAAAAAAAACAAAAAAAAATTATCTAAAAAAAAAAAAGAGAAGATTTAGAAGAATTTTTTCCTTAAGCTATTGA